CCCCAAAAGTAGCCCCTACAGGGGCCCTTGAAAGAAGCCTGACCTGAACCCTCTTCTAGGCAATAAGGCCCCTTGAACCCTAAGCCCTAAGCCCTAAATCCTAAACCCTATACCCTAAACCCTAAACCCTCTTCTACTTATGTCATTTTGGGTCCCTGATAAACGGACCAAGACTCGCTCGCCCCCTGACTTGCATTCGGTGACGTCGTGGCTCGGCGCACTCGCCGGGCGGCCGCAGCTGCGAAGGCAGCGACGCCGACTGCGGTTCAGGGGGTTTAGGGTTTAGGGGGTTTAGGGGTTTAGGGTTTAGGGTTTAGGGTTTAGGGGTTTAGGGTTTAGGGTTTAGGGCTTAGGGCTTAGGATTTATAGGGTTTAGGGGCAGGCTGTTCGGGTTCAGGAGTTGCGCTTACCGTTTTAAGGTTAAGGCCACTTCGGCAGCTCCTAACATTAGTGTGAGGGTCCGAATAATTAGTTAGTCAGAGGATGTTACGTTGTGGGTGCGAGGGCTTTGAGGCTGTGTAGAGCCTTCTGCTAGTAGAGTCTGAGGTTTTCCTGCAAATCCAAAAATGTACTGTCTACAGGTAGCATTCAAGTTTGCTCTACAGTTTGGGGCATATGGTTTTCTGTTGCTTCTGCAACTTAGGGCCTAAGGGTGCTGTAAGCTAGGGCTCTCAGAATTTCTGATGAATCCATGACCCCTGTATCCCCAAAACCCTAAACCCACGATCCCCAATCAGTGCACCCTGACCGTCATGCCGTAATGAGTCTTCCTGATATTCGGAGCTCTGCACGCGAAGTTCTTGTCATAAGGATTCATTTCCGAAACCCTGAACCCCAAACACTAGCCCTAAAACCCTAAACCCTAAACCCTCATAAGACCTAAGCTTAAACCCTAAACCCTTTTTGGAAGCCTTATAGGGCGCTTCTAGTAACCCTTAAAGGAACCCACACTTGGAGGTTCATGGGTAGTTAGGCTTTAGGGTTTAGGGTTTAAAGGATTAGAAGTAGCATAACTATACGTATCACCTCTATTGGGGCACTTACTAGCCCTACATATCTACCCGTGAACCTCCAACCAGGATCCCTAGTCTACTTCTTACTTATCCTTCTCAGGATGCGAAGTTTTTCGTCGTTGTTAAGTACCTACTTGGAGGTTCAGGGGCAGTTATAAGTAGGGTTCTAAGTAGGGTGACTATAGTTATAACCTATATTAGGGGACTTATAACTCCACATATAACTACCGATGAACCTCCAAGTAGAACCCTACATCCCTAAACCCTAAACCCCTAAACCCTAAACCCCAAACCGTTATATTTTCATAACCGATATTCAGGGACTTATAAACCAGGAACCCTTAGGCTCTCTGTTCGGCAAGTCAGTGTCGAGCTTAGCGAGCGTTTTCAACCGGGGAAAAAGGTTGAGGGTTGAGAGTTTAGGGTTTAGGGTTTCGGGTTTGGGGTTTGGGGTTTAGGGTTTAAGGTTGAGGGCTTAGAGTAGAGTTTAGGGTTTAGGGTTTAGGGGTCCATAGTAACTACTTGTAGTGTAGGGATTTTGGGTCTGGGGCTTTGTCGTTGTAGAACTCTCTCTCTCTCTCTATATATATATATATATATACATACTCTTGGGGCTATTTCGCTAACATGACTGTTCAGACCTATCCATTCGCCATAGCTATACGGAGTCTTTGTGAATTTATAGCAGCAGTGCTTGTACGCAACGGCCACGCGTCCGTGGTACCCCGACGCTCCCCCGTAGATACTACGACCCAGCCCTAAACCCTCAACCCTAAACCCCTCAACCCTAAACCCTAAAACCCTAAACCCCTAAACCCTAATCCCCTAAACCCAAATCCCTAATCCCCTAAACCCTAAACCCTAAACCCTAAACCCCTAAACCCTAAACCCTAAACCCCTAAACCCTAAACCCTAAACCCCAGTCCCCGACCCCGCGCCTGCCCCAAACCCGAAAGCCTAGAGCCCTAGCTCCCGAAGTCCTAACCCTTAGGGTTTAGGCTTTAGGGTTTAGGGTTTAGGCTTTAGGGTTTAGGGGGTTTAGGGTTTTAGGGGTTAGGGTTTAGGGCTTTAGGGGCTTAGGGTGTAGGGGGTTTAGGGTTAAGGGCTTTAGGGGTTTAGGGTTTAGTGTTTTAGGGGTTTAGGGTTTAGGGTTTAGGGTCAGACCCTTAACCTGCGACCCTATCTTAAATACTCTACAACTACGTAAAGGATCTGGGGACGTAGTAAGTGGGGATAGAAGTACCGCAGATATACTTGAAATCCCCAGCAAGGTACTCATGACCGTACATACTGAGCCCTGTGCTCCTTTAAGCCCCCCCCCTCCCCAAATTCGAAAACGACTAAACCCCAAACCCTAAACCCTAAACCCTAAACCCTGAACCCTAAACCCCTAAACCCCTAAACCCTAAACCCTAAACCCTGAACCCTAAACCCCTAAACCCTAAACCCTAAACCCCAAACGACAACAATCTCCGAGCCAGAACCTCGAGGGTCTCCAAAACGGGTTTCATTCCGCAATATCCCGAATTCCGACACCCTAAATACCCTAAACCGCAAGTCATAGAGGCTCGATTTAGGGTTTAGGGTTCAGGGTTTAGGGTTTAGGGTTGAAAGTCATAGAGGGTCCTTAGTTTATGGGTTGTGGAGTTCCGGGGCTCATATCCCCAGTACCGAGAACTGACATGGGACTTGAACCAAACACCACTATGCACGAAGCATAGAGGGACCTGACTTTAGGGGTTTAGGGTTTAGGGGGCGAGCTGTGGTATAGTATAACCATAACATGCAGCAGTCTCCTGTCAAACTGTTCGACTTAGGCGGATTCCATGTTGCATATCTGTAATATTGAGGCCGTAGTAATTAGAATAGGGTTTCGGGGCCCATTCTTCTATACTTATAATAAGAAACCGCCACAATGGTATTAGTAGTCTAGACTTTGAAGTAACCAGGGAGAAAAAAGCGTAGACTTTAATTTCATAATGGTTCCCTTAAGGAACAGGTCCCCAAAAAATATTCAAGTATGGTACTCCAGAACCCAGTAATTATCACCCTAAACCCTAAACCCTAAACCCTAAACCCTAAACCCTAAACCCTAAACCCTAAACCCTAAAACCCCCCTACATTATAACCTACCATGCTGAGAACCTGGTCGGAAGTTCTGGACTCTGAGAACATAAACGGACAGAACGGTGCGGTGCAGCAAGCACTGTAGGGGCCTTAATAAGTAGGGTTTAGGGTTTAGGGTTTAGGGTTTAGGGTTTAGGGTTTAGGGTTAATAAGTAGAAGAGGGTTCTGGGGTAAGTTATACTATAGTTCTATCGAGGCCCTAAACCCTAAACCCTAAACCCTAAACCCAAACCCCTAAACTCTAAACCCTAAACCCTAAAAAGTCTAGGCAACCGGCCCATAGATTTGCAAATTTGCCTAGTAGGTTGGATTCTGATGCTTTCGCATCTCTCACGGGCACTAGCACTTTAAAGCATCTCTCCTCCAGATACTGTGTGTAAGGACAATACTGACTACCCATAGGCCCATAGTAGTTCCTTTTTGGG